GTGTGTGTGTGTGTGTGTGTGTGTGTGTGTGTGTGTGTGTGTGTGTGTGTGTGTGTGTGTGGTCTGACCTGATGGCCTCAATCCAGGAATCTCTCTCTTCTGCGCTGGAGGCACAGATTGTGTAGGACTGGTGTTTCCCCTCCACCACCCTGCCATCCGTCTCTGTCTTACATGCTTTGATCTTCTGCCCTCGACTGTTGGGGTTGTACAGCTCCAGACAGTACTACACGATGCAAGACCATCAACATGAAAGTCACTCTTAGAAACTATCAGTTTATCAACTTGCAGAATGTGTTTGTGTTCTGCTTGAACAGCTGACAAGATCTTACCGGTTTACGAGGGTAATGCACTTCTCTAACACAGAGATTCTCCAGGGGGATGATGCCTCGGGGCTCTTTATCCTACAGGCAGATCCAAAAGACATTTATTGATGAGTCAGGTGGGTAAAAAAACTAAACAAATGTAGAGATAAGAATAAAAAAAATGTTACCAATGTCAGAAAAAAAGGGAAGCAGAAAAGATAGGGATAGATACCTGATATAAGATTATTAAGTGACACTTTTACCGGAAATAACATCCCATTTTGGTTTTCAAAGCCTGAGTAACACCACGTAACTCACTGAGAATTTGGTCAATCTTCAAAGGTTAAAGACATTAATGTGTGATTTTTATCTGTAACATTAGGCAAGAAAAAAAAGCCACGTAATAAAACATGGGCGTTTTCAGCACAACCGTCTCTATGGTTACGTTCCAGTTAGGTTTTCATAACTACAACTTCGATGTCAGTGATATGTAAAAAAAAAAACTGATTAAACCCTACCACCTATGATGCCATTCACCTGATTCATCAAAAGAGCTTAGCAACAGCTAGAGAAAGACAAATATACAGTGACAGCATGATGAGTTTGACAGAGGCCTTACAGTGGTGTACTCGAAGTAGTAGAGGCAGTTGTCTGTCAGAATGAACCATCGCCTCTTCCACGTCTTAACTCGACCTCCTAAAATAGAGAGACAACAAAAATGTGGGCTGTTGGTTGGGGATATTATGTCACTTACGTGCAAGCACACATGAGAATCTTCCAGTATTGGGTCATTCTCTCCGTGCTTCCTCTGTACTTTCCTGTTTGTGTAGCAAATTACTAAGATGTGATGCCACACAGCAGGGCAAAGCATGCTTAACATAAAAAAAAGTCCACTGTTTAAGCATGTTTTCTGGGTGGGATTTTACCAAGTTTGAGGAGCCATCCTTCTCTGTCGGGGTTGAAGAAGGTGTGAGTCAGATCATTCCCATCGTCCTCTGGGATTTTGAAGGGCTCGTTGCGTATGCTCTCGTACAGTTTCTGTGCGTAGAGAGAGTGAAATGAAATGCAACCATTAAATGAATTGCAGGTGAATATAAAATATCATCCTGAGCCTCCTGTAACCCGCTGACGGCCTCGACTGACCTGTGGGTGGAAGATTGGCATGAGAGAACCTGGATGTTTTCATGTCTGTGTGTGTTTCAGTTCCACATTAGTGGCGACTATGAAATACAGGTATTACTTTCTCGAGGAGGAAAGGAACTGTGTGGTTTTACTTTTTGTTACAAATACTGTAATAAATAATATTATTGTTAGCTTCTGTTTCATTTTGACATTTACCAGACAATGACTTAAAAAAAAACTTTTAACACAATCTCTTCTTGTTCACCTTCCTCTTATTATTCACAATATGAGCTAGCCGTTTCTTTTACATCACTAGGGAGCTGAAAATGTGTGGTGAATGTATGCAGAGGCTAAAATGTTAGCTGTGTGTCCATTTAGGTAATTGCTTCTTGGCGTCTACGTGGGCGCTGTGATTGTGTTTTTGAGAGTTTCTCACCGACAGCAGATCATTGGGTAGGTCCTCTCCATTGTTGATGCCTCTGTTCATGGAGATGAAACGCTCCAGAGTGGTTTTGTCCTTCACGTTGGGGTTGTGAAGGCTCGTGTTCAACATGATGATGGCAAAAGACAGGATGTAGCACGTGTCTGGGGTTAAGAGGAAGATGCACACGCACACAAAGAATAAGAGGAAGCCTGAGCCAGTGTTTCACATATGCATTTTTGGTACTGAATAGAGAAATACAGAATCAGTGACAAGGAGAAAGCACAAAAAAAAGTAGAAAGGAAGACGTGAATATCAAAAATACAAAGATGGTGTGGTAATTTTAAAAAAAAACCTCCGCTCTCTCACACACAGTCTCAAACAGGAAGTATGAATATAGAATGCATATTGAAGCCCACCAGTTGACTGGAAGACATCGAGGTTGCAGTCGCAGTAGCGGGTGGCGAAGGCCTCCATCATACGGTCAATCTTCTGAGCTTCACCAGGCAGACGGAAACTCCACAGAAACTGTCTGTCACATACACACCGCAAAGGCAGAACACCTCAGTATGTTAACAATACACGTGAAGCTGTTTATCAGCAAGCAGACAGGAGACGCACTGTCTGTCTGTAGCAAGTCTCAAAGTCTGGACTTTATAGCTGCTTTTTGTGCTGAAGGACTGATTAACAGTGGTGGAGTCATCTATACAGCATGTTAACATCAGCATACAAGGACAGGAAATGTTACATTTAATGTGAGAATCAAGTTTGGCTGTTCTGCTTGTGAAATTCTGACAAATTTCATCTTCAACACTTGGGTTGGAATTGCTTGGTCATCAGGGAAAGTTATTAATATACTCTAATTTTGCCAAGTTTGGTCATTATGAGTTGTGGCCATATGGGAAGGGCTCGTTACATGAGTTCAGAGAAGTGCTCTCCATCAAAATAGCTGTATGAAAATATAGTTTCACATTTGCATTGGTTATGTCCTCTTTTTAGGTTCATTTTACATGTCAGTTACGTTTGTGTCATGGGTGCCTTTATACAGTCAGGCATTGAAGTAGATCAAATAACTAAAGGAATCAAGTCATTCACTGGCTTCTCCATGTGTCTGTGCCCTGCAAATAACACAGTAAGAACTCATTTCAGATGTATTGTATCTTTAGAACAATGTGGTTTAGAGCAGACCTGTGTCAGAAATAGCTGCTGTAAAATGAAAGGCTGAGACTCTAAGCACCGTGGTTCTTATTTCTCCTTTATTTTTTGTTTTAAAATTATTTGTCAGTTCCTTTTCAAGGTGAATTTTACTTGATCCTAACAAGGTCAAGGAAAGGAGGGATAACCAGACAGGATAACCCCGATGACATCACTGTTACTGTGCAACATTAGGTAGATTTTCTTTTTGACTTCTCAAAACGCCTGGAAGCATAATAAACAACAGTAAATAACTGTTTCCATCCTGAGTATTTATCACCAGGATGACTAACCTTATACATTTTTTTTGTTTTGGATAAAGGACATTTTAATTTGCTACACAATCTTAACATTTTTGATCAATACCCTTTTCTTTGGAAATCAAAATTTTACAAATATTTTTGGAATACTTTTTTTCCTCCATACCACCGTCGTCATTTGCAATCTAAATGTGCCTGTCTCTGTAGCAAAAGGTTTGGAGTAATTTTACTGCTCCTGATACCTCTGAGTGAACATTGGGCCTGTCCACACTGTGAACAAGTTATATATAGCTGCTTGTCTGATAACAGTTACAGTTTAGTGACTGTGGAAAGACTTTCTGATTACATATTACTCTTTTTCTCTGTTTTTGCTCATAAATAAGTGCAAATATTACCATGTAGGTACATTTAAACTTCAATTATGCCCTTCTATGGCCTTTTGTCTTTGTTTAGCAGTTAAAAGGTCAAGTCTGCAAGTCTACATTTAGTCAGGTTCCTATTGGTGTTATCCATTATACTATTATATATGTGTATGCAAACATCCTTGTAAAATGATCATGAAGAAAAATTGCGTTTATGACACAGCAGATGAAGAGGGGCTGACCTGAGAGCCTGGACCAGGTTGAGGTCGGAGAACTCGTGCAGCTCCACAAAAGCCTTCAGGGTCTGAAGGTGGAGTTCTTCCCTGTGGGGCGGAGTGTGAGGGAAAAGGCATGAAACAAAAGAAAAGTTTTCACCTTTTCCATACAAGACCTATCCTAACTTATCCTGTGTTTTAGTCTCCTCACGCTCTGATTCTACACCTTTTCATTTCCTTCACTCCCATCCTCATTGCCTCCCTTCTACTGCCGTCTGCACACTCCCTGGCCTCACTCACCTTTCTCCAAGGAATTCTCCAATGGCTGTCTTGTTGAGTCCTTCTTCCTTGTAGAGAAACTCGGCGATGGATTGAGCACTTCCATCCAGCAGCTTAATCTCCAACAAGTAGTTGATTCCCTGCAAGCAAGCAGATCATTTCACAGAAGTTCACATTTGGGCTCATATTTGTCCTCACCACTAAAACTGCACAGGTAAGGAGAATTTTTAGCTTCTGACATAGCACTTAAAATATGCACAGGAACACATGCGCTGCCTGCTGTGGCTAATGTGTGCTACTTTCACAATGATCTCATCTCATGCTGGTAAAACACAGCAAGTTCACAGCATCTGTAATCCTAATTCCTTAAATTCAGTTATCTCTTCCTCTTTCTCCTCGATACTGTGCTTGAAGAGGAAAACAATGTTTAGCATTTAGTTATTGCCTGCATGCAGCTACATGCTGCCTTAATTCTCTTCTGTGTAATCCAACGTTGATTACACATTGATTGTCATGTTTATATTACTTTAGACTGCCTATGGTTTAAAGTGGAACACTGTTATATAAGTGTGTCAAGTTATATTAAGTTGTAGTAAAGTTAAGCTAAACAAAAAAGAAAGTAAACCATGATAAGAATTATTCGTTGTATCAGTAGTTGCAAACATTTGCACGCACAGCAGTCATAACTTTGACCTCCAAGCAAAACCACAGAAACTCTGGTGTGGGCCAGGGTGTCTGTTCTGTTCACAGACACGGCGGCCCCTTCAGTATGACACACATGAAAGTTAATACAAGCTGCTGTGCTAGATAAAGGTGGTCAGCTGCAAAAGCTCAGACAGCGAAATGCAAAAAGGCTTTTTTGTTTGTTTGTTTTTTAATTCTTCATAACAAATGGTTATTCCTTGTCGAGTATGTTGATCCAGCTTACCTTTTTAGGGTCCATGTTGAATTTCTTCTTCCCATTTGCAAATTGTTTGTTTTTCTCTATTGCTTTGCTGAAAAATCAACAATAATGAGAAAAATGTCAGTCGTGGACAAAAGTCTTACACTTGTTCTTTTTCATTTTCTTTGCACACATGCTCGGTGCAAAACAACTGCACAGGATTGCATGTGTAGCCTTCTTGAAGGACATTTGAATGTTGGCTGTCTTTTTTTCCATTCTTTATCAAGATGATCCCAAACTGCTTTAATAATGTTGAGGTCCAGCCTCAGTGGAGGCCAATTCATGAATGATAGTGCTTCATTGTATATTTTGTCTATCCAGGTTTGTTTTACTGCACTGTCAGTTTGTTGGGATCATACACTTTCCAGATGGTATTGCATGGTGGATCAAAACCTGACAATACTTTTCTGCATTCATAATTCCTGCAGTTTTGAAAAGAATCCGTCACCCCTGTCTGAAATGCAGTCCCAAACCAGGTCAGAGCCTCCACTATAGCCGTAGAGACTCATTGTTGTGCCTCCTTTCTTATTTCCCGCATACATACTGACATTCAAACTTTAACCATGACCATGACCTGTTTTCACTGATTTTCAGTCCAGGTCTTTTCTCCTAGTTTCCCTTCCTTAAGAATGACTTCTTGACAGACACGCCTCCACAGAGACCATTTCTGAAGCAGCTTCACCAAAGAGTAGATAGTCGGTGTAGTCGATGTGTCAGTTGTTTTGTTTTTTTCCTATTTCTTAAGGACATGACAGTACTGTCATCTGCTGTAGATTGTCTTTCAGGCCTCAACTTCCTCTTTTTTCCTTGACTTTTTCAGTTTCCTCAAATTGCTTTAAGGATATGATGCATGCCATGCCGAGATCGTGACAGATGGCCGCCCCTCCCTGAGCCTGGTTCTTCCAGATTTATTCCTGTTAAAAGGGAATTTTTCCTTCACACTGTTGCCAAGTGCTTGCTCATAGAAGGTTCCCTGATTGTTGGGGTTCTCTTTGTATCATCTTATGGTCTTTACCTTACAATATAAAACACCTTGAGGCAACAGTTGTTGTGATTTTGCACTTTAAAGATAGAATAGAATAGAATTGAACTGAACTGAATTGAGATATGCCATGCTGTTGATGGGACAGGACAGAGAATAAGTGAAAAAGCAGCCAATTTCTAATGAAAAACTTTAAAAGCCTTCAGAAAGCCCAGAAAACAACTGCAAAAGTTTGGCTCTTTGGAAGCAAAATATGACTAAATTACACCTGCCTCAAGCCTTTTGCACAGTACTGTAAAATTAACATCATTAGTCCATAATTATTTTTTTGGAGGTTGCACAATATGGCACATTTGATGCAATATATACATCCGAGACTCATTGGTTGCAACAGGTTTCATGCATCTCATTCTATTGACTATCAGCCTAGTTTGGATCAGTGATTGTAATTAGGGGGGAAGTGTTGCATAATTTTGCCCACAACTGTGAAACAAAAAACTGTTTTCTCATCAAAAAAATAGCTAATCAATATGTTATAAGTGGAAAACTCTTTTCAAGTGTTAGTAATCATTGGAAGAAGAGAAACTAGTTTGAAAGGCACTGTGTCACTGAGTCATGTAAGACATTTACATGTTTTTTGTCAGTGGCATTGTGTAGGTGTTCTAAATACACGACAAAGAAACCTCCGTGCATGATGCAGGTGTAGGGTTTTTCCCATTTTGCACAAAAAAACAAAAAGAGTCTACTTACTTTTCTTCTGCAGACTCAAAACTGAGTATTTCTGCCATCACATTGTCTATCTCCATTTTTAACTTCTGGAAAAGACAGAGAGAAAGAAAAGTATTTTATATTGTTTAAAAAAAACGTGAAAAACACGAAAATAAGTGCAATGATTGTATAAACTTTTTTTTATATATTGATGGAAGATCACCCAGGGGCCCCCAATCCTTGAAACATTATGCTTCTTTTTTCACATTTTATTTTTTTAATAATGCAAGAATTGTTGTTATGGTGATCAGGTGTTCAAGCCTTAACAAAATTAACCTGCTTTTCATTTACACATGGAGTAAAATAACATAAAGATCTGCTGAAGATGCATCTCAGGTTCATTTGAAACTGGTGCTGCTACCATGAGGTGAAAAGACAAATGACACTTTATTAATTCTGTTTGTGGTGGTGGGAGCGTGGGGCCATATAAAATCTGCCTTAGGGCTGTTATTGGCTCCTGGACTGGACCTTGGACATGCCTGGTATATGTATACAGGTTACCTGGATATCATCCAGAAGGTCTTTTTTATATGTCTTGATGGTTTTGATCTCCATCTTCTCTTCTGGTGTAAAATCTGAGGAAACTAAACAAACAGTGGAACAATATAATTCCAGCAATTCCAACAACAAGTTCTTCAAATACAACAACATCTACTGTAAAACAAATGTGCAGAACGGAGCTGTTCTTGAATAATTTGAATGATAATTTGCATATTGAAAATGTGGAGTATATTTAAAAACAACCACAACACAGGGAAGATGGCTTCTCTGGAAGATATGTGATACAGGTGCTGTGGTTTTTTCATGAATGATTTCTGTCACCACAAAACAGTACTGTGAATATTTTTCTCGAACACAGAGACACTCGCAAATCCATGGTGAGTTTTCTCATATTTCCATTCCATTAAACAGAAACAGAGCCATAGCATGAATTGTGTGTTTTTTTTTTTAATGATCATTAATTCTAAGGAAGAAAATAGTATTTGGAAGTTTGCTCAGTTATAGATAATATTTTACCGTATTATGATTTTAGATTCAATTATCAGTTGCATGTGGTCATTGCGTCACAGGGGTTAGTTATCTTAATGACCCAGAGTTTCCTTCATCTTCACATTGTAGTGATAGACTGTTTTCCACTGGGGAAACTTGAGGGCCCCTTTTAGAGCAGCCCCCACACTTTTGCACTTTGTCTGCACCTGTAGGAGAATTTCCAAACCAGGCTCTGGAGGAGAAAAAAGGCGCCTCCACTGGAAACAGCTGCTTCTGACTGTCTTTCAAATACCTCTGGGTATGGATCAGTACTGATCAGTTTTAAACTCAAACATGGCCATCGGTTTGCCATATAAACACACGTAATAAACAGCAAAGCAACAACCACATTCATTGGCCTCACTCCTGTTCCATATTACAAACTTGAATGTGACAGAAACATGAAGAAGCTGTGGCCAGCTTAGGCGGGGGTTATACTTTCTCACAGTCACAACTGTACGAGGGTCCTCTTGGGACTGAACAGCCCTTTTCCTACGCCCACAACTGAGCATAATTGAAACATTACTGCAAAGCCTCAGAAACAAAAAAGAGGCACCATTACTCTTACCATTTCTATAAATGTTCATGCCAACTCACAACTCTCTGCTGTAGAAACATGTCTAATGATAGCCAGTGTCACCCGCCTTCACATATTCAAGGGCCAGTGTTAATATCAAGGTAAGGTCAATTTTTAGTGAGGCGCAATTTATTTATTTTTTTAATTCTTTGTGCACTTTGAATTTTGTCTTTGTGGCTTTATTTGTAGCAGTGTCAGTTTGCAAAGCAGCTCCATTGCAGCTCGCCGAAGTTGCATCATCTTAAAACAGCACTGACCTCCTGTTTGGCTTAAAAATGAATCATTAACGAAAGCGTCATACCATTTGGTGGTTTACCCAACATCCTCTCTCAGCAAATTCCATTTAATTTTCTCTGTATTTGTGTTTTACATGGATAAAGACAAAATTAAACACCTGTTTTTTAGATTTTAGAAAATGAAGAGACGTAACTTTAAAAAAAGAAAACAACAACAACAAAGCAACATATTTTTATCATCAGCATAGATGATGAGATGTTATGATAAGCAAAGCAAAGAGTATGCACTCTGGTTCCTCAGCAGCATTCAGGCCATACTGACCTTTTTTTTTTTTTTACATTTATCCTTTGAGAAAATAAATCTTTTTTAGAATATTTAAAGCTAAAAGACTGCTAGCTGCCAATACTTCCTGTAGAGATATGTTGTTTGCTGTTAATGATGTGACCACAGCGCTTCCACTTCCCCACCCTTCCTTTACACATCTTGTGCAACAAAGCTGACAGGCTTAAATCATTGGAGCCTTTGTTTAGGTAATTTAGATACCGAATTGCCAATCTGAAAAATAACCGCTGACTTTAAGTTACGTTTTAAAGTAGTTTAGGCATCTTTGCAACTTCCTTTTTAATGTTACAGTCGGTGACGTGCATGTGAATGTGAGTCTCTTCCCCATTTCAGCTGCTAAGACCCACAATGTATGACCACAAGGTTAAACAGTGAGAAGTGGTATATGCTGAAGTGTACAACCATCACTAAAACGTTCCACCAGCTGTTCTCAGCATGCATTGAAGGTTTGCACCAGGAATAGCAGTATTTATTTCTAATGATTTGTCTTCAAATTACAGCTGTTTAGTTAGAAACATGACAGTGTGAAACTTGAAGCTTCCCTATAAAACAGCTGGGTAACTTTTTAAGATCCAATTCATGTCATAAGGTCAAGCGTCTTTATAATAAGAGTATCACACATCAGGAGTATACTAAAAGACAATTATGAAGGTAAATTGCATGAAAGAGCCTTTTCATTTTAAATATCCAGTGACAGTCTCTGAAAATCACACCTACATTTAAATATCAATAATTTAAACGATCCCGTTCTCTGTAAATATGAACTAAATAAATACATATTAAAATCAGTAATAAAAAGGCAACTAAACCAAGTCTTACCCATTTGGCAATCAGTCATTTATATCCAAGGATAGAGGGGAAAAGAATCAGTACGAAAACAGCTAAACAAAGTCGATGTATCAAGGTACGCAGGCTGCCTTGGCACACAGTAAATTAACAGCTGAATGAAGTGGATGCTGTCTTTCAACCCCACCTCTTCCCCATCTGTCACAATACCACTCATACATGAGACCGCAAACAGGTCAGCCTTCAAAATAAAACGGTTAATAAACGAATTTGTCAGAGATTTAATTTGATCAAAGATGGGTTTTTTTTTCATGTTTCATTTCAGGATGCAAGAAGTCAACTTTTTTAAACGCATATTAACAGAAACAGTCGGGGTAAAACACAGGTGTAAAAAAGAAAAGAAAAGAAAAGAAAAAAACTCTTTTGCACAGGTTTGTGGACCTGAGATATCTGCAAATATCTTCCACTGTTATGTAGTTGAATCTTCGAGTGTTTTCTGTACGTCAAAGCTGAAAGAACTAGCTAGGAGACGAGTTTGGAAAGCATTACTATCATGTTATCATATGATGAGGTGAGCCACGAAGCCTTGAGATATATTTACCCTTCAGCGGGAAAATGACTTTATTTAACTAAAATGTGATACTTTTATTTTGAAGGCTGTGTGGCTTTCCTGCTCTGCTTAACGTAGTGTACTCTCTCTCTCTCGGGCTGATTTGACAGCTGAAAGCTCGCACTGTTGAAAAACCAACGAGTAGTTAACGGGTTGAATTTTGCATGTTGCATCCTGCCAAGGTAACCATACACAAATTGAGGTTTTACAGCAGTTTAAACACACTTTGGAAACGGAAGTAAAATTATTCAAGGAACATTAGCAGGAGGAGAAAATAGCATGTGAATATAAAGTCCTCATAATTAAACCTGACATTATAACTATTATAAAAGCGAGGTGTTAATGTGTATTCTGAATAATGTTTTTCTCAAAAAAAGTGATGTGAGAAGTCAAACAAATGTAAGAAAAACAATAGTTTAATAAATAGCTGTGATAGATAAAGGAAGAGCAACTGTGCTGTACAAGCTCAGTTTTAAACGTGAGTCAATAGCAAAAACTGTTGCTAAAGTGCCATCTAGTGGTTGTAGATGAACATCACAAATGCTGTTGTATGAAGGCGTGTTTTTGTCTTGCTTAATGAAAATAGTTCAACATTTGCCGTCATCTTACAGCTTCCTGGAAACAGTATCTTTGGGCCAGGTATTGTTGATCTAATGCTTATAAACATTTAGTAGTATCTCTGAAGAAAATCTAGACTGGTTTCAAGCAGAGTATTACACAGAAAAAAGCCCTTTCAAGAGGTTTTAATGACAGGCTTTTAACTGTTTGGGGTAACTGAGGGCTCTCTCTGTATAAACTGAGGGCTCTCCCTGTATATATGATTTCCTTGGGGTCAATTTTTAAAAACCACAACTTCTGCTTTCTTTGCATTGCAGATGATCTACAACTATGTCTGCCTATACAAACCATGTTGCTTCATCACCTGCAAACTGTACACAATGCAGCAGCTTGTCTTTTGAGAGGAAAGAAACAGGATGATTACAACAGCATTGCACCATCACAAGACCCACCTCAAAACGCCATTTTTTTAATTTAAGACTACAGTGATGCCAAAAAACTAGTTCATGCTTTCATTACTTCTAGGCTCAACTATTATAATTCTCTCATAGTACTCATAGGATGTACTAATGATCCAACATGCTTCAGCTGCTTCTGATTTTTGGGGTTTCTCTGTTTTCTTTGTGTTATTCTAAAGACTCACCTTACAATATAAAGTACATATATAAATAAAACTGCACCTACTGCACCCTACTACTGAACTTTTATAGCCATACACCCCGACTACATCAATCTTTGGATCAACTCACCTTTTCACATAAGAGATGCCCAGTCACCCAAATATTTTAAAACGCCTATAAAAACCTACTTATTCTTGTTGGTACAGTACATCCTGGCCTTTATTGTGCAAGCACGGTCTTGTTTGTTTCTATTGTTTTATTTGATGGCATTTTTCAAATTTATTAGAGTTCATGATTTATTGTGTTTTTCAGGGCATGTTTATTGTTGATTTGTATTGTTACAAGCTGGAGAACTCAGGAGTGGACCATCACCCCACTACATGGATACTGGACTACCTCACTGACCGACCACAGTATGTGAGAAATCAGGGCTGTGTGTCGGACAGGGTCTTCTGCAGTACGGGGGCCCCACAGGGAACTGTTCTGGCTCTGTTCCTCTTCATCATCTACACTGCAGACTTCTCCCACAACTCCACCCAGTGCTTCCTGCAGAAGTTCTCTGTTGACTCTGCAATAGTCGGCCTCATCTCTGATGGGGACGACAAGGAGTATAAAGAACTGACCCACGACTTTGTGGACTGGTGCCAGCAGAACTACCTCCAGATCAACACTAATAAAATAAAAGGCACAAACATCCTCCACTACAACCACTAAACATTCGAGGTATGGACATTGAGGCTGTGGACAGCTACAGGTACCTTGGTGTTTATCTGAACAATAAACTGGACTGGACTCATAATTCAGATGCCTTCTACAGAAAAGGGCAGACCAGGCTGTACCTGCTGCAGAGACTCGGGTCTTTTGGAGTGAAGGGCCACTCCTTCTATGTCTCTGTGGTGGCCTCAGCCACCTTTTACAGGGTGATCTGCTGGGGTGGCAACATCTCTGCCGGGGACAGGAAGAGACTGAAAAGGCTTTTCTGTTGTGTTCTAGGATGCCCTCTGGACCCAGTGGAGGTGGTGAGTGATAGAAGAATGGTTGCTAAGCTGTCATCCCTGTTGGACAACATCTCCCACCCCATGCAGGAGACTCTGACAGCACTGAGCAGCTCCTTCAGTGGGAGACTGCGGCACCCACGGTGTGGGACGGAGAGATTTCGCAGGTCTTTCCTCCCCACTGCTGTCAGACTCCACAACAAAGACTTCAACTGATCAAACACACACATCCACACATGTGCAATAACACTAAGTGCAATACTCTTTTCTGCACGTTGTATTTTTACTCAGTTGTATAGCATTTGTATTCTATTTTTATCCTATTGTATATTTTATTCTATTTATTCTATTATACTAGTATTTTATATTCTGATTTTTGGAGATTATGTATCGGAATTTCAGGAGCAGGGACCACACCTCCAAACACGCTCCTTCCGGTTGTCATCTATATAGGTTCCCCCAGTTCTGCAAGCTGTTCATTCTCGTTTACGTGCCCCTCCCTCCCTCCTTGTTCTCATTCTTTAACTTCTTCACTTCTATTTAGTCATGGGGATCTGCCAGGCCGGGAGCCGTCGCCAGTCCCCTTCGAGGCCTTCCCCAAACCGCAGCTCAATTCATGTCAAAGCATTCACCTTTACCTACTAAAACGCTGTCAAACCTAAAATGAGGACGTGGCCCAGCTAGTGAAGTTATCTCATTCTATTCCAGTGTTTTTCTCATTTTTGCTATGTGAATTTGCACTGTCCACTTTCTGCTTTAACAAAACAAATTTCCCTTGTGTGGGACTAATAAAGGTTTTATCTTATCTTATCTTATCTTATCTTATCTTATCTTATCTTATCTTATCTTATCTTATCTTATCTTATCTTATCTTATCTTATCTTATCTTATTTTATCTTATCTTATCTTATCTTATCTTATCTTATCTTGTGTATATATTTTGTATTGCGTTCATGTGCATTACTTGTTGTTTTAAATCTTTAAAAAAGTAAATTTGAACTTGACTAGATGCATGTTTTTGGATTGTGATGAGGTGGGAGTGCCCATGCATACATTAGGACAGCATTTAGGATGCTGGGTTAGCATCACAATACCACATTTACAGACAGATAACTTGAAGTTAACCGACAATAAACACTTATTTTCAGGTGGGTACTTGTATCACTCACACTGTGAGGACATACATGTCTTTTATAGTATCAGGAGTGCACCAGGAGGGATAACAAGGTTTAATGTTGTTGTAAGATGAAGGTAACCATTAGACACATACTGCAGAAAACACCAGGAAGTGAATGTGAGTAAGTGTTATGTTGTGCAAACCAAGGGAAATGTAACCGCGCATGTGAGTGCATGTCTTTAATTAATGAGGTTTATGGAATTCAATCTTTTATAGTAAATTGAAATTTGAGGTAGATTAATTTTAGCTTCCATATGTTCCGACATGCTGGTCTGCATTTACTGAATGGTAAATGCCCAACAGAAGAGGAAGTTTAAAATAAAGCTCTTATTGTTCGCAGAACCTTCCTCTTTGTAGCCATTTCACAGCTTCTTCTCTGTTGCAACAGAGACTGCTTTTCAACACCCTTCACATGAATTTTTTTATGGGTGTCTTATTGGTATTGGTATCTTTTCAGCTTAAGGTCTGTTGTTTGAAAGAAAAAAAGAACAAAACAGGAAGAAGGCGATGAGTTCAAAAATGAAGGGATAGAGGCTGAGTAAGAAAAAAAAGAAGCAGCAAAAGAAGGGGGAGGGAGGTGTGCAACAATTTCCTGTAGTTGCATGCTCTTCAGCGTCTCTCAGCCTTCCTCTCTGAGTCTGTTTCAGAGTGAAGAGCACAGACGAAACTGAGCGGAACAGGATGCAGGCTATCAAATGTGTGGTCGTGGGAGATGGGTATGCTTTTATTTTACTAATTTTAACCAGTGTGTTATAAATTAAAGGGGCCTTCAAGCTTTGAATTACACAGTGGTTGCCCAGCTGACGCGTAAATGGGGATTGGCCCCAGGCTCTGAATTTCAGGGTAATCAGATAGAGCTGTCAAAGGTTGTCACATGGTAGGAGCAACAGTTTGACCCACTTCAGCGAGATTACTGTGCGGTTCAGCGTAAAAGTGTAAAAGAAACTTCTGTACTTGTGTTTTATGTCCAGTGTTAACATGTAGATCTTAAGGTGTGTATTTGACAGCGGTGATTCACACTGAGCGCGCTGGATGAGCCATGCAGGCCACAACATGCAGGAAAATGCTTAAAAGCAGCAGAACTCCTCTTCAAAGATGAAAATCCAATAGATGCCACAAAGATCAGTTGAGAAAATACAAACAAAGTGGGAAAAAAGTATGACTAAAAAAAGAAGAGGCAATGAAGAAGCAGAAGCTCAAACGTGTAAATGATTAACCTCATTGTGTTTTTGACATCTGAAAAGTTGTTGAATTTATTTGCCCTAAAGGGTGAAATGTGCTCGCGTAAGAAGTTTGGATGAGCCACCGTCTGCCATCAAATGCGTTTATCGTTGAAGGTGGGGCAAAATGGCTGGCTGTTAAAGTGAAGGAAATTGTAAAGCGGAAGTTCTACAGTTGTTTCTCAAAAATAGTTCAGTAAACACTTTAACACATGCAGTTCACCATCCAGAGGTAGCACACAGGTACTGCAGCGTGTGTGCAGAGCTTCCTGGTGTGTGACACTGATTTAAAAAATGCAGAGAGAGAAGCCGTAACAGTGACATGTGTAAATATTTGGAAAGGGAAACATGTGGTGTTGGCTCTATTTCATTTACCACGCTACATTTACATAAAGTGTTCAAATATACTTCAGCTTGAGAACTCTGTGAAAGGAGCAAATATATATATAGATATTATATTATTATATATGTATATATATATAATTATAGTCAAATAATATATATATATATATATATATATAATATCTATATATTATATTATATATATATATATTATATATTATATATATATATTGAGTTTATGAAGGCACCTTCATTGTTTTGGTTACAGTGACATGTGACCATTAATCAAAACAAGCATCGATTATTGGCTGTCGACAGGAATTATGTTAACCATACTTTGATAATTTTTTTGTTGTGTTTAAATAACTTGTTTTGTTGTTTTTCGTTTTTTAGTAGCTGCCAATCAAAAGCTTCCATTAAAAAAGGTTTTATGTCATTTAAGTGTGCTAAAGTCAATAAAGACAGTTCACTAAAAAGAAGCAACAAAACGTGTAAAACAAACAAACAAAAGCATTAGTAATAATAAGTACGCTGCTACAATAAACACTGCAGAGGTAGACATGCTGAACTTTTTGTAGATCTTGTTTCATTACTTTTGACTCCACTCCAGAACTTGACCTAGATTTCAGTTCCGCCTTTATTACTTGTTTCTTTACAACTAGTGCTGTGTACAAACTAGTACTGCAAATTTTACATTCCAGATACCAAGTAAATACAGGGTCAGTACTGCGGATACCAATACTCGCACTTTTAACCTATAAGGAAAGCCGATATAGGTAAGTGCAGTGTATCACGACTTATGAGACATGCCATTATTAATTTGCAAATTCTGAAAACATTTGAATGATTTTTACTTTCCACAATAATTAGAAAAAACAACAAAACACACCTTTTAGTTTCTCGTGAATTTTCAAACTGGGTTTTTTGGAGACCCAGAATTAACTGTTCATGTCTCAAAAGCACGTTGGGTCAGCTTCTGTTATTAAATATTCTATAGGGTACAAATAAAATAGACTTGCAGTCAACACAAACAGGTTTAGACCTTTTTTAATAGGTTGTTTAAGGAATATTATGTCATGTGCAAAAGAAATAATTTATTTAACAGATTCAGTGGACTACAGACTGAACCTAAAGCACTTAATCAATCTGATACCAATATCTGTGTCGGTATCAATATTTGGATTAATTCGTTCACCTTTATTAAAAACACAACACTAAGACAAAGGCAGTCAGTTCACTTCAGTGGGTTACACAAGCAGGAGGAAGAGCTTGGAGATGTGCCCAGTTTTACACCTGCGGCCATATGAATAAAAGGAAATATTGTGAAAATGTTTTCAAAATGTTGCCTTTTAAAATATTTGAAAGCTACATTGCAAATACCCAGCCAGCCCTTTTGAAAGTCTGTATCGTTTCATGTGACAGCCAGAAAGCTAATGATGCTGGTGGTAATTTCCACATTTATTTCTCATTTTTGATCACCTCTGCTAGGCGCTAACAGTGTATATATAGATACATACACACAGTAGTTAAATTTAACTGCTGATGGAGAAGAGGAAGTCGGTTTCATGTTGTAGGGAAGTCCGCTGCAAGAGTCGTGGTATTTACAGTTTAACAGCACAAGCATTTAAATGCAATCAGAGCTCATCAGCTGTGTTGCAAAATCCATCTTCTTTAACCCATTTTACTCCACAAATAAGAGTTTTAAATAAGAAATAATTATTTGAAATAATAATAAGTAATTTCAAATAGGAACAACAGAAGTAATGTGAATGATTTAAGCGTATGGTTTAATTAGCAGCCAAGTTAATGAACATCCTACAGTCTGATGACTGACTCATTAAAACCTTACAAAACAAACAGGTGCGTTTAAAGGCAAATGGGGCAGTGGGTTATAAATGTTAAATTAAATATAACACTAGAAAGAAAATAAATTTGGAGAGCCACACCAGAGCTATTTGTATTGTACATAATTTGACAGGTTTTCAAGATAGTCCTTGAAAAGTAGAGATGACGGCAGCTAACTTGCTGTTTTTCAAAGAAAGCATCATTAATGTGCCTGAACTGAAATAAAATGAAGTTTCTGTCTATTGTGATTCTCATAGCGAAGTCGCTTTTTCTCGGAAAAAGCTAGCGTTCTGTTGCTATCTGCTGGCAGGTCAGTTAAGGACAGAAACATGTCCCTGTGCAAGTGTATATAAACATTTCTGAAACTTACATGGGTGTATAAGCAGTAGCTGGTTGTGGTGGTTGAAGCTGACCTCTGTCAGGAAATTGTCTGCTGCTGCTGTTTTCATGCCTGAAGTCAAAATGTCGGATGTTAGAAAGTGGCTCGTGGTGCTGTCACATTCCTAAAACTCAGAGAAAGATAATTTACCACTGGTTGCTGCACATACAACATTTTTAAGGACTTGTGAGCATGAAGGTGGAAGCCCAGATTTGTACTTCTTGTTATATTAGACAGTCTCTTGCATGCCTTCTTTCCTGTCTTCCTTCTCTCACCCCAACCGGTTGCAGCAGATGGCCCCGCCCCTCCCTGAGCCTGGTTCTGCTGGAGGTTTCTTCCTGTTAAAAGGGAGTTTTTCCTTCCCACTGTCGCCAAAGTGCTTGCTCATAGGGGGTCAATGATTGTTGGGTTTTTCTCTGTATGTATTATTGTAGGGTCTACCTTACAATATAAAGCACCTTGAAGCGACTGTTGTTGTTATTTCTGCTGTATAAATAAAATTGAATTTAATTGACTTCTCCTGCTAAAGTGATGCTGAGTTAGCAGTTATATGTGTATGTGTTAGTCCCCATAGGGAAATAGTTCCTCTGCATTTAACCCATTCAGCAGTGAAGCAGTGGGCAGCCACCAATGCAGCGCCCGGGGAGCAGTGTGTAGGGACGGTACCTTGCTCAGGGGTACCTCAGGGTAGCCGTTCAGTGGAGTTGAACCCCCGACCTTCCGATCATGGGGCAACCACTCTACCTACTGAGCTATATGACAACTAAAGCACAACAGTTATACAGCTACAGATATAATTTGTAAAATAAAGTAAACCTAATGAGTAACAAAAAAGTCAAGCCCCCTTTGAGAAATTAAAGTTTACTCAGTTTTATTTTTTCTTACATGCAGCTGTAGAGCTATGCAGCTAGCTAACTGACACCATTTGGCCTCAGTCTGGTTGAAACCATTCATCACCATATATTCACTTTTTATTCTTTTTAGACGGGACCAAAAGAAATGAAATGTCACAATAGGTTAAAACGATAGGATAAAACATGTTCATGGAAAAGCAGATTATGAAGCAGACAGAGAGAGATGTGAGGCAGAAATCTTTTTTCTTTCCTTTTTTTTGAAAGCTCGGTGTGGCCAGTTCCTGTTTTCAGCTCAAACCGATGCTTCTGAAACAGCGCGGTTCCTTTTTGACTCACACACGACCACAGAGCACACGCATGTAATGCTATACTTATGAGACCCTTTAGTGGCATTATTTAATGTGTGACCCACATCCCTGACTCAACCTCTGCATTCGACCTAAACCCTGTTTTAACCTTAACAGTGAGACTAAATCTTAAACCCACACGAGCCTTTGGAAAAAGTTACAAACTGACAACATTTCATCAGACTCGACCTCTAAAACTCAGAGTTGTCCTCACAAAGACAGAAATGCTCACAGGCACTCTGACGCTTATCTGCGTTGCTCATATCACTACTGAGTCATCTCGTCAGCAGGGCTGGTCTTTTTTAAAATGCTAACTTTTGGAATGACTGTCATTTTGTAGTGTCTGTGTCATGCATTTTTTTTTCTAGTCAGAACATATTTGGATTTTATAATTAATAAAAAATTAAGTCACCAGCCACAAAGTATAAAAGTTTGTTGTTGTTGTTGTTGTTGTTATTAATGTTGGTGCTGAAAAACACTAAAATATATACTCAGTACACTTGTACTATAACACTAAGCAGCCATGAAAGTAAAGAAACGTGCTAACAAGTGCACCCACAGATCCCTCAATGGAAGCGTCAGTTGATAATAACGATGTGTCATCCCTTCCATATTTTTGTATAACTACTTTTAATAATATACAATATAATAATAATACTTAAAAGAATTAAATATGAAAACCAAAAATTATTTTGTATATGAGAATTATGCCAACATTTTTATTTGATTTACATATTAAACATAAAAAGGTTTTTGGGGGGAGAGAATGGGGGAAGCTCAATTTCTTCTGTCTGATAATAGTTCAAAGTTCCACAAAATTATTAATCTTATTGTGGGATTTTAAAATATTTCTATTGTGTTAATGTGGTTTGAGTAAAAGGTGGGAGTATGTGAGAGTTTCGAGCAAAACCATCGAGAAGACCAGTACAAACCTGCTTTATTTGATAAACGCTTGTACGTCACAAATGTCTTTTATGGCACAGAGTCACAGGCAGACTGAGAAAAAAGGACGAGCTGATGGTTTCCTTGCAGACTGGATTTGCTTGGTTATTTATGTAAGCAAAAAAAAAAGAAGGTTATTTATCAATAAGTGTGATAAAGACTGATCCAATCAGGGGTTCTGATCTCCGTCTGTCAGATAAGAGACTCTACAGAATTCTGTTTGATGAAACAAAAAGACTGAAGCCACTCCTCCTAGCTTATGACCAATCAGATGTATCCAGAGTGTAATCAACATGAAATATGTGTGCTGCAGTGAAACCAGGCCTCGAGTTCTGTGTGCTGCTGTTTAAAATGCTGGCAGCAAATCTGTGGAAACTAAATAAGAAGCAGGCTAGTTGATACTTGCTGGATCACCTTGCAGGCAGCCATGCAGCTTCATCACTGTGGATGTTGGGACAAGCTGAACACAGATCACTGAATTTATGCAAATTAGAAACACAAAAACACTGTTTACAGATGTCAGCGTGCCCATGAAATCTGTATTTGTTGAATGTTTTGTTTTTGACCGTGACAGTATTTTCGAACAATGACGTCAACAAAGGAACTGGGGGAGTTGCTCAAAGAGTAAATATAATGCACTTCCAGAAAACATTTAAACTTGGAGTGTGACTGATGTGTATAGGCGTGCATATTGCATCATCTCCTGTCAGTAGTATATTTATATATATATATATATGGAATAGCAACATTTACTGTCTCTTGTGTTTTTTTCTTGTCATTCTCTATGTCTGTCAATGGAAAATTGTATTTAGTAGTCAGTATAATCTTTTAGTGATATAAGTTTGCTTATGGTAGGATGCTGTAGTTTTGTATTAAGTTACCAATCTTGGTAGTGACAGGATGTGTGATTTTTAGCAGGCTTGGTTCACCCCCACATCCTGGGAGCATGGGAGAGGTCGTACCTTGTTTTATTGTTTTAACGTAGCTATGTCTGTTTTAGTCTAAGTGCTTTAACTGCTGGACTTCCTCACCGTGCCATCTAGGGTGGGGGAGACTACCCTCTTTAGTGACCAAGGATGTACCTTTTGTGCTTTCATGTTATATGACCCTTTGATCAAAACACACACACACACACACACACACACACACACACACACACACACACAAGTATAAATAAAGACCGGGGCAGTTTCTTAGTGCGAGTCTCTGAGACTGCCCTTGCTAGCAAGAAGTTCTGTGTGTTTCTCTTCTCTGAGTCTTTACTGAAGAAGTGTTTTAGAACATTTTCCCTAACAATGTCTCTTTCCTGACTTCTCTCTGTCTTTTTACTTGTGTTATACAGAGCTGTGGGTAAAACATGTCTTCTCATCAGTTACACAACCAATGCCTTCCCCGGAGAGTACATTCCTACTGTGTGAGTACTACAAACAAACATCTACACACACAGAAATACAGACATAAACACTTTAGCGGTCTCTCTGTGAGGCACCTACAGGTACATGCGCATGTCTTCATTGATCAGTTGTGCACTGTGTCAGGACACACGGACAAATATTATAGAGAAGATGCACACATGTGCTGCAGTCCATCTGGAGATGTCTGACTGTAACACAGGCAGGTTTGGGCTGGCAGCAGCCTGCAGGTTATTAAAACATATTTGTGGTTCAAAGCGTGTTTGATCAAAAGTCAGCTGCTTTCTGCACACGGTGAAAGAAAAGAGGAAAGAAGCGAGATGGGCTTTTCTTTTTTTAAAACAATAAATATCGCTGTGCACCTGAGGTCCTGACAGCGCTGGAATTGAAGAAGTCAAGTACTAGAGTGTTGTATGTCCATGCAACACAATAGTTTCGCTACATTTTGAATGGACATTTGAACAGCTTAATGTAAAATTCAGTTAAATACGAATCTAATATGTGAAGTATATTTAAATGCATTGTTTTTATATAAACTAACCTTCTCCATAGTAAATGTTTAAAAAAAGATAACAATATTACTCGATTAGCAACTGTTTTTCAAATCCAATCTGATCCATTTTCCTATATACATTTATTCATTTTTATTTATTGACTATTTCCTGTTTATTGTAAATATTCTTGAGGTTTGGGCAATTGGTTTAAAACACTATACAACCTTTTTGGCTATTTTTGGCCATTAAGTCTCATTAATCACTTTGCTTGTTGTTTCTACAGTTTTATAAACCAAAATTAAAAGATTTAATTGGCAAATTAATAATTAGTACAATCTATAATGTAAACAGTCAGAAATTTAAGCCCAACTTGGAATATGCAGGACATTAGAATATTGAAAGAAATATTGAAAGAAATAAAATGAATATTTCTACAATGATCAGCACTTTTACTTCAGCAAAAAATTGAATGCTTCTTCCACCAGTGGGTGCTGGTGTCTACTTCAAACTTTCACATAAAATAAAAAAACAATAAAACCATATAAAGGAACACAGTCCATAAATATTACATGTAAGCCATATTAGAATGAAGGCAATAAAAGATCTAGGGAAGCATAATAAATGATTATTAGACAGGTTATAACAAACCTCAGATCTTCAGTGATGTAATGCTGCACTCTGCAACATGAAGGGCCAGAACTTCATAAAAATGACTATGAGTCATCACATTTACTTCTTCAGGTGCAACTATTTAGCAACATGTGAACCCACCGTATGTTAAACTGGAAGCCCAGAAATATAAACACCAACACTGAGAAATTAAACTGTTATGCTTCTTTGTGACCACACGAGGGCAGCCCTGCCTTATTATGTGTCATTGTCGTGTTGAGGCTGTGTGCAGGCAGTAGTGATGGCAAGGAGGACCCAATGTGCAGACACTCGGACCCAGAAAGTAAACTCAAACTCAGTTTTATTGCTAGATGGCAAACAGAGAACTGGCAAAACTGAGAATACAAAAACGAAACTGAAAATAACAACAAGCTGAACTGGCAGACGGACAGATAGAAACACAGCATGAAATGAGGGTAGATCGCGACACAAGAACACTAAAACTCTAAAAAAAACACACACAGAGAACCTAAACTAAGAATAATCCTATAAGCCATTAGGCAAAGCTAGAATATAATGAAATAAACAAAATCAAAGAGCCAAAAACACAAAACACTGGGTTGACGACCCAGGCACCCTAACAGTTATGCTCTTATACTAGACATGGTTAATATGACTTGTGTGTCAAACTAACCAAAGTAATGTTGTTGGTTGATGTTTTCGTGAACAGTGATATTTCAAGTATGGTTGTAGTTTTTTCCCCCATTACAGGAGTTTAACTGATTAAACAATCAGTGAACTGAAGGATTGTTTAATTAATAAATAACCAATGAAATGAAAGGCTGCCTGAGACTGGTTGACCAATCGTTGACCTTCTCTTCTCTCCCCACAGATTCGACAATTATTCAGCTAATGTGATGGTGGACAGCAAGCCGGTCAACCTGGGCCTCTGGGATACAGCTGGACAGGAAGATTATGACAGGCTCCGCCCACTGTCCTACCCACAGACGGTACAGAATCACACATACACACACAAAGCACTCGTACAGCTCATTAGAACAAGGGGGTTTTAACATTATGTGTTATACACAATGTGTATCATATGTACCACTTACTTTCATGCTTTTAGCCATGAGATAACTACGATAAACACACGACATGTGGTAGAGTAGCTGAAGTAGTTGTTTTGCATTTAACCTGATCTTCTCCACAGTAGAAACGAAACATAATTTCGTCCTTTCGAAATAAATATTTCAAGTCAGCACTTTGTCTTAAAAGTTATGATGAAATGAAACTGCATTCTCAAGGACATTTCAAAAAACCTTTGTCCCTAATAAAATAGCCGACTTTAATAGATCCAAAAAGTCCAAAACAGGAGTAACGCTTAGTTTTCAGTAAGGACACAGGGGTCTGAATCCAGTGTTAGACCATTTTTATTAGTTTCTTTATTAGTTATCATTAGTTATTAGTCAAGTTTATGACTTTATGACTTGCAGTTTAGTTTTGCAAGTTTCTGTTTATTTGGGTTTAGGCACCATGACTAATTGATTAGTTTTAGGTTAATATAGACCTTCTGTCAGTATTACAAAACATGCCAAAAGTGATGAGTGCTGCTCAGTCTGATATCTGCCCAGATGTCTGAAAAGAAGAAACAGTAGAAAAATCAAGAAAATACATGGAAAACATGTTGTTTATTGTAAATATAAATGTTAGAAATGTTATAATAAATATAAACAAATGCAAGCAAGATTGGCAAGAAGTAATGGACATAAAGTTACAGAGACAGAACTTGTATAACATGTCAGCTAATTAAAACTGCAGCAGCTATTCTAATTCTTTGTCTCCTTGTCTCTCCATCCAGGATGTTTTCCTAATCTGCTTCTCCCTGGTTAGCCCGGCATCCTATGAGAACGTCAGAGCTAAGGTGAGTTTTGGCTGTTTTTTATGAGGCCTGTCTCTCAGCTGCCAAGGAACAAAATGTAAAAAGGAATAAAAGGAACAGAAATATGCACATTTCTAACTGTGTTTTATTAAAACTTCCACAGTTGGTTAAATATTAGCATGGTAAGACGCTGAAAATAAAGTGACTTAAAGAAACAGCAGTAGATCTCATCAGGCAATACCCCAAAACTCCATGGAAATAGCTGCTTTGTGAGCAAGCTACTCCACAACAGATTTACCAGTCATAGCCCACAACAATCACTGGCTTGTGGTTTACCTGAGAAAATAAGAGGGAGGAGAAAAAGCAGTAATTTATTACAGAGAAAAATAATAGGTACTTGGATAAAGAAATGGAGGAAAAACCCAAACAGATCTGAAAATAAATATGAATGAATGATTGATGCTGTGTGTGAAAGTTGGATGATGTATTTCTCTCATTTCATAGCTACAGCATATCATTTGTTTTTCGTGTTAAGCCTTCATCCACCTTTCTGTAACACCTGGCATCAGAGCTTCATCTCCCTCCACCTTTGATTCTGTTTTTTGCCTCTAACACGTTCCTTGATTTTGCGTGTTCCCCTTTCTTGCCTCTTATTTAGTTTTCCTTTACTCTGTATTCTGCCAGTGGTACCCTGAGGTCCGTCACCACTGCCCCTCCACGCCCATCATCCTGGTTGGCACTAAGCTGGATCTGAGGGATGAAAAGGATACCATTGAGAAACTGAAGGACAAGAAGCTGGCGCCTATCACCTATCCACAGGGCCTAGCTCTGGCTAAGGAGATAGGTCAGTCACTCTTACTTTATTTGCTTGAAAAGCACTTTAAGATTTGAAGCTCTCCTCACCAGTGAAGATATGAAACTAGCAGATGAAGATGCTAGAGAACTTTGTAGCCTGACTGCCTCTGCCAATTTTTGTTATTCCCCTCATTTCCTGGCATCACAGTAAAAGTATAGTAGCTGTAGTTGACTATAGTGTTCTTTGAAAGTTGAACTTATTCTTCTCCACTACCAGCAAACCTTTCTTCTCTTACTTTGTCTTTGTGGTTCTTTCTCTTCTTTTATTAACGTATATGTGTCCTTGCATGTATAGATGCAGTCAAATACCTGGAGTGCTCAGCCTTGACCCAGCGTGGTCTGAAAACTGTGTTTGATGAGGCCATTCGTGCCGTCCTCTGCCCTCAGCCCGCCAAGGTCAAGAAGAAGCCCTGCTCGCTGCTGTAAACGGTACGACTGAATAAAACACAGAGGAAGAGGAGGAAGAGGAGGAAGAGAGATTAGACGTTTGAGAGAAGAGAGAAACAAAGTTAACTCGCTCATTAAATCAACACATAAAGTAGAGTAGAGGTTTGAGGGCTTCTTTTCTTTTCTTTGAACATAAGTCTGAAGCTATTCAATCAAGCCTTTTATTTGTCACATGCAATGTTTACATCTGCAGTGAAATTGGACACCCCCCCCCCCGAACATACATACGTATCAGCTCCAGCCTTGAGACCACAGCTGACACCGATATGGTAGCTGCATGAAATGATGGTGGTTTTCCTTTAGTGCGAACAACTGCATGTCAATTTCACAGTTGGTCTAACAGTCCGTCACTGGTCTCTCAGTCTCCCGTTGGAGAGCTTCTCTAAGATGTTATCAATCTTGTGCTCAGAGAGCAGAGACCGCTGTGAGCTTCTCCAAGATCTTATCCGTGCTGCGTTCAATGAGCCCATTTTGAGAAGTCACGACCCGTCCCATCATTTCCATCATAGCGGGCAGCCTTGTGGGGTTTTGGAAAGCCAATTCTGCTATCTTTGATAAGCCAGGGCCAAGCCAACTCCGAACAGCAAGAACCCTGTTATCATGGTTCCGAAAAGGTAGATGTCTTCAATGTCCTCGATTGACAGTCCCGCCAGGCACACGCCCTCCAGTTCTGCCACCCGCCCATCGTGTATCAGAGGGGAACGTCCCTCCAGGACACTCGGACTACTCAAGCCCAGGCTTCTCGTTGAGAAGAGGTGTCAATTGCATTCAGGGACCAGTTGTTCAAATCCATAATTCCTCTTTTAGGTTGTAACAGACCGTGAGATACTTCCAGGGCAAAAGTAGAAAAGTAGACGAGACTAGACAAGGACATTGAGTAGCCAAGCAGGAAAGAGAAGGAAGAGGGAGAGGAGAAAAGTGTGACTGCCTTCGTCCAGAGCCAAACAAGAAAGGAAACTGTAGACACTTATCACTAAGAGCTGATTCAGAAGTTTGTTCTTGCACATATAATGGACAGAAACATTAAAGAGAAAAGAAAAGACATAAATGAACACAACACAAGACAGAAAAGTTTCACATGCTTTGTACTCAATTTCATTTTTTTGCAGAGGAAAAATAAATTTGTCCTGAATATCGTTGGAGTAATTTTGTCCCACAGGCATCAATTTAACCCCATGATTTATGTGACCTTTGTTTTAGATTCTCACAGGAGCACAGAAGAAGAGAAAAGGACTGCAGACCCTGAAGAATATATGCAAATCTGCCATGTCTCTAATGTATATCTACAACTTTAAACAAAACAAAAAAACCAAACAATGTATGGTGTGCAGGTTTGCTATTGTTTTAGAAATGCCAACGAGCTCTTAAGTCCAAATCCAGACGCTGCCCAGACAGGATTTCTTTGTAAAATATATCAGTTTAGAGATTATAGACCCTTTGAGTTTAAGTGTAAGTCTGAGAGCAGCATGCTGCCTTCATCTAAAGTACTGCCAACAATATATATGTGTTTCATGAAACCTAAAATAAAAATAACTTTTGTAACTGAAATAAACAGTGTTTCAGTATGATTTGTTCACTGTGCTGTTTTCAGGGTGATGAATGTAAGGAGCAGAAATGGTCGTTTGTGAGGAAGCAAGCAACAAGCAAACTTGTGTCTGAATAAGATTTATTAACAAATGTATTATTTGTTGTGCTATTAAAATAAAAATAAAACATTTGATTGCACAAAAGATTCACATTATTTCTCCACAACATGTGACCTTTTGGATTGGATGCCTATACTCAACTATGGGGGATATAAAATTCTCATTTTGATCCAGCTGCTGATATCGCCTATACTCTATCCTTATTTACATATTGTGGAGAACAGCATCTTTTTCTGGTGGTGAGTTGAAAATGTTCAGACTCAAACATCACTTTCAGTTTTGCAGTTTAATGTTTGACCAGCTTTTTTGCCAAAACACCTTCATGTTTCAATCATTTTAGTAATCCTGCGGATATCAACAGTTAATCATGTCACATGGTGCTCAAGTCTTCAGCTGTGATTTTATTTGTTATTTAATTAATACAGTTTAATGTCTTATAATATAGATAGCTACACAGGCATACAGAGAGATTGTTTACTTTATTAATCCCCAGTGCGACTGAAGATTAAACTGAATATAAAGCATTTAAAAGAAGCTCAATCTTAAACTCATAACAGAACAGTAATGTTAGTCCATATAAAACTGATGTGGAATATTTTCCTCTTGAATTATTAGGTTAACTTTGATATTTTGTGGTTAGTTTGCCAGGATGATGACTGTCATCCTCTCTGCCTTTCTGCAAGAGGCTCCATATGCCGCTGTTCTGGTGGATACTGTAAAAATAAATAAGCAATAATATATGATAATACATTATCATTAAACTCTTAACTATACAGTAGTAGTAAAAAATATTTTACTACTTTCCAAATATCAATGAAAGTATAGGCATTCATGTAATAATAATAATAATAACGATAACAATAATAATGAACATGAATTATGTTTCATTCACAAAATATTTTCTCTTGCCAGTTAGTATTGTATTGTAGTGGTATTGTAATTTTCAGGAGACTGACAGTAACAGAAATTAATTCCATAGACAAGAAATCAACATGGACGTGGACCGCCACACTGCAAAACATTTGGTCATTTTTTCTGAATGGTTTATAGTTATGACCCTATTAAGGATACACAGAAGACAATGGACGACTGGACAAAATAAAACATGTAGAGTACTTTTCAAATTCTTTTTGGTGTTTGCTCAAATATGGGACCTTAAATAAGTTTTTTTAATAATATAATTTAACTTAGAATTTTTTTGTGGTACATTTCCCTGATGACAGATCCTGATTTAATTTCATGGTTGGAAGGACCAGGAAAAATTCTAAAGATTGTTTGAGTTGAGACAAAATGACCCTATTAGCAAATCACCATCGGTTTAAGAAAGGACACAAAAAAATTCAGTTAACATACAAAATCTGATATGAAAGAGGTAATATAGATAAACTACTGTCAAACAATAACATTTTGTTGAGATTGAGTCCATTTGAATATAACAGTTTAATTTGACAGACAAGCACATCTATGTAATACCATAACAGTATATGTTGGTGTGTGTGTGTGTGTGTGTGTGTGTGTGTGTGTGTGTGTGTGTGTGTGTGTGTGTGTGTGTGTGTGTGTGTGTGTGTGTGTGTGTTCAAGACATGTTTGCAGTTGGAAGTGTAGATTCCTTTTGTGAACAGAAGACAGTTCTTAGATAACTCAGTGCTTGTTACCCCGGGCTCACGCTTCTCCATGTCGCAATCTGATAGATGAGTCTGCTTTTGGCAGTTACCAGGAAAATGGTACTTGTTTGACTGCATTGTGCAAAGTGTAAAGTTTGGTGGAGCGGGGATCATGACGTGGGGTTGTTTTTGTGAAGTTGGGCTCCACCCTGAGTCCTGACCTCCGCCCGTCAGACCTTTGGGATGAATTAGAGCAGAGACTTTAAGCTCATCCATCATCAGTGTCTGACCTCAAAAATATGTTTCTGGAACGGTGTTCTGCATGCGGTGTTCCTGAGTTCACTGATGTTATGGTGTGTAAAATTTTCACCACTGGATGTCAGTAGATTGCAGATTGCGGTTAACTTAGTTCTGTTTTTTTATACCCATCCCAATCATCCTAGCTATGTTGTTAGGATGTTAGATAGGAAGCACTTAAGCACAGAAAGAAATTGCTTATCTTGTATAGAGTGCTTTGAGTAGAAAAGTGCAATATCGGAAGAAGGCCATTTACCATAATGTCTCAGAACCCTACTGTGTTTACAAATCAAGTAATTCTGTGAAATGATTGATTGATGACTGTCCTTCTCTGATCCCCACAATGCCTCACAACTACTTAACTAATGGGATGGTGCATAGGCAGCCAGTCAGCCTGGGCCTCTGAACACACAGTTGCTCAAGAAAATTATAGCAGGGTCAACCTGGGTCCCTCCTACAGATGGTATACAAGCATACTTGCAGTTCCAAAAAGTTAAACTTTAACATTAGTCTGCAAGCCTAAAATTCTGTTTGTGACCTTGGAAATAGCTTAATAAAATAGAGCACTTATATCATATCACACACACACACACACACACACACACACACACACAAACACAAAGGAATGAAATTCATCTCTTTGTGAATGAAACGGTTTTTTATATGATTTGTTAATAAGTGTTATGTTTTTTTAATTTTTTGAAATATGTATAGCTAAAAAAATTTTGATCAGGTAACAAATTTACAGTTATTTCAAAGTGTCCTCCAGTTCTTGCAAACAGCAGCAGTTGTCCACATGATCTATATGTCCACTGTATTTTCAGTTTTGTTGTGTGCTGAAAGCTCATAAATGCTTATCATGTTTACTGTTTCTATGCGATCATGAAGATGTGTGGCTTTCAGCAAAGATACAACTTTAGTTATTTTGTGAGGTTTTGCCAGAATGATCAGAGGTTTTTTTTAATCATGCGAAGGACAACATAATTTTCTTCATTATTGACCCAGATCCTAACCCCAAGTTGCTCTTCGATGTATCAATTGAAGCATGAATGTGTGTGTGAATGTTAAGTACAATGCACTTCAGAATAGGAGAAAGTGAACCCGGGGTAGCGGTCATGTCCGGTTAGGGGCTCTGTTGGCTCTCCGGTGACTGTTTCCTCGCGGCTGCGTGCAGCGGGGCTAGGGGAGGGTCTGTGCTGACGGACGTGGGTTACTGACCTGGTAGCCTGGCTG